TATTTAAAAATAAAATCTTCAAAAAAAAAACAAAAACAAAGACTTAAAACACATAACCCAATTTTTAAAAAATGGGCAACATATTTGAACAGCCATTTTACCAAAGAATATATATATATAGATGGCAAATAAGCATGTGAAAAGATGTTCAACATCATGAATCATTGTAGAAATTAAAAAACCACAATGAGGGGCGCCTGGGCGGCGCAGTCGGTTAACTGTTGACTCGGTTTCAGCTCAGAAAGTGATGTCAGGGTTGTGAGTTCAAGCCCCGCATAGGGATCCACGCTCAGCACACAGTCTGCCTAAGTTTTTCTCTCCTTCTGTCCACCCACCCCGACTCTTTCTCTCAAATAAATCTTAAAAAAAAAAAAATCCACAATGAGATACCACTATAGATCTATTAGAATGTCTAGAATTTAAAAAACAAGAACTGACAAAACCAAGGGCTGGGATGTGCAGCAACCATCATAGAGCATCATAAGTGGCTGAGGGCTTTGAAAAACGGTACAGACATTTTCGAAAAAAGTTTGGCAATTTCTTATGAAGTTAAACATACACTTACCAGACAACCCAGGAATTCCACTCCTAGGTATTTACCCAAGTGAAATGAAAACTTATGTTCACAAACTTTTATGCAAGTGTTTCAACAGCTAATATAAAACTGCTAAAAACTGGAAACTACCCAAACGTCTTTCAATTGGTGAATGGATAAACAAACTGTGATATATCCATAACAGAATCTCAGAATGCAACATGAATCTCAAATGCAGTATGTTAAGTGAAATAAGTCAGACCAAAAGCTACCATTCCATGACGTTCTGGACATTTTATGGATAGAAAACAGGGGCTGAGCAGAGACGGAGAGGTTCAATGCAAAGGGACATGGGAAGATTTTAGAGGCAATACAACTGTTTTATATCATGAACGTGGCGGTGGTAGTTACATGACTGTATGCATTTGTCAAAACTCACAGAACTGTACATGAAAAGGGGTGAATCCAACTGTATTTAAATCATATATTATTATTTTTTTTAATGGAAGAAAAAAAAGAATCACAGATGAAGATGAGTCCCAGAGATTCTAGGAATTCTAGCCTGGGCAGTTATGAGGATGATGATGTCATTATCTGAAAAGGCTACATTACTTAGGCCAAAGGCACAGGCCAAGTCCACCAACTGATCGAAGTACAGAAGCAGGCTCTTGTCACTACCCTTCGCTTATCATTTCCTACTCTCGCTTGTTGCCTTTTGGGGTTTGGGTGAGCACTAAGTGGCTACTGGAAAAAGGCATTTAGAAGAGCTGAAGACAGCCAGGCTCTCAACAGAGCCCTACTGAAAAAAAAAAATGCCTCCTAAATCACAGAATCAATGTGGATGAAGCCTGAGTAGCTACCAGTGCAAGCCTCCTGCTTCCTGCACTTGAATCACAAGAGAGGGAGGGCTATTTAAACTTTTCTTAAAACAACAAAGAAATAAGGCAGGGTATAGGGAAGCTAGATGTATCTGGGTCTAATTACAGAATCTTTTTTTTTTTTTTTTAAGTAGGCTTCACACCCAAGGTGGAGCCCAATATGGGGCCTAAACTCATGACCCTGAGATCAAGACCTGAGCTGAGGTCAAGAGTCAGATGCTTAACTGACTGAACCACCCAGGCACACCTAATCATAGATTCTTTTAAGAACAGGGTTTAATTAGTGATTTCCTTCAAAGTGCAGTCAGCCAAAGATGCACTGACACCATTTCTAATCAAAGTGAAATATGACAGCCACTTTAAGTTTGGTTTTTACATTAAAAAAAGGGGGGGGGCGCCTGGGTGGCTCAGTCATTAAGTGTCTGCCTTCGGCTCAGGTCATGATCCCAGGGTCCTGGGATCGAGCCCCGCATCGGGCTCCCTGCTCAGCGGGAAGCCTGCTTCTCCCTCTCCCACTCCCCCTGCTTGTGTTCCCTCTCTCACATTCTCTGTCTCTGTCAAATAGATAAAAAATAAAATCTTTAAAAAAAAAAAAAAAAAAGGAATGTCCACAACCTGTGAGTCTGCTTACCAACTAGTAAAAGTCGTCAAAAAATGTAAGTAACAAAACCATAATTTTCATTTTAAAGAGAGAAAGTGAAAAAAATTAGGTAATATATACTCTCCTCTACCAAAGCTGAAAAGCACACTGTAATCGAAATAGTATTCGAAAAGAAATTCACCTGGATTTTAATCCGAACTCTGCAACTAACTTGGCTGGTTAAGTACATCAATTATTCTCCCCAGCCTTGTAATAAAAGAGAGTAAAGCAATAGGATATGTAAAATTTATTACAATAAAATGTGAAAGCAATTAGAAATTATTAAAAATACTACCTAGGGACAGAGTACCAACAACAGTCATTATCATAATTATCACTACCAAGTAACCTTGCTGGCAAAACGGGACTGTTTATCCAGAACTAAAATGCACTACCTGACACAAAAAGAAATTCTACTGGAAGAATTTTCAAGATGTTGGATTTGGTATATGTTAGACTGATGTACTTCATAACATTCCAACATTCTCATACTTTAAAAGTTTTTTAAAATAGCCTGCAATGTGAAAAGATATCTAAAAGCTTTCTTATAAAACTTTGTTATAAGAAATTTGCACTGCAGAGATCTAAAAATGCAAACGGAAGCTTTTACTTCATTTTGGCTATACAGTTATTTATTGGAAGGGAACAAAAAGAAAATCAAGGCACCTCTGAGTCAGGTCTATATGGTGCCATAATGATTCTTTAATCCAAATTTTTAGAAGTGAATGAAACAGGTCACATTCAAAGTCAAAACTGTTCCACCAGGTTGCTCCTTATATCCTAGCCCTTTCTCACAAATATTAATGAAAGAAACGATATTTACTCAGCACAGATGTCAAGCAGTAAATTAGGTACTTTATATTAGATTATTTCATTCTAACAACTCTAAAGAGATATGGATATTTTCATCCCCAACACACAAGAAAACTGAAGCTCAGAAAAGATAAACAACTCACTCAAAGTCACATAGCAAGCATCAGAGCTGCAACTCCAAACAAGGTCTGAGACTGAACTACTCATCTTCCTTCTAAAATATGCGATCCTCGGGTACACATTACACCCACCACCCCCCAACTCCACCCCACAAATAACAAATGACTTTTCCTCTAAACTATACTTGCAAATGTCAGGGAAGGGGCAACAATGAGTTACTAACCTATTACCAATATTAGTCTTGAATTCTCATACTGATCCATAAAGAAGGTAGAAGACGTATTATCATCACTTGTTTACCTTTGAAGCAATAAAAGCCCAGAGAGGTTATATAATTTGCTTCAAGTTAAGGAGATGACACACCAATATTCTAGTAGAGGGCTATTTTATAGTTTCCAAAGTGTTTTTTCACCAATCCATACAGAATTCATCAAACACTTTTTTTTTTAAGATTTTATTTATTTATTTGTCAGAGAGAGAGCACAAGCAGGGGGAGCAGCAGAGGCAGAGGGAGAACCAGGCTCCTGCTGAGCAGGGAGCCCAATACGGGGCTCGATCCCAGAACCCTGGAATCATGACCTGAGCCGAAGGCAGATGCTTAACCAACTGAGCCACTGAGGCACCCCCCATCAAACAAATACTTATTAAGCAATAGCTGGATTCATTCTAGGAGCTTGGGAAATAACACAGGCAGAGATCCCTGCCCCCATGGAACTTACATTCCAGCAAGAGAGACAGAAAATAGGCAATAAATATAAATAAGCAAATTATATAGTATATTAAAAGAGATTAAGAGCTCTGGAAAAGAGAAATAGAAAAGCAGAATAAGAGGGTCTGGCAGTATCAGAAGGGGAAGAGCAGGTTGCAATTTTAAATAAGGTTGTCAGGGTAGAGTTCCCTGGGAAGGTAACATTTGAGCAAAAATTCAGAGGCATAAAGTAGTTAGCCATACAAATGGAGGAGACTAGGCGGTAACCTAGGCAAGAAATATTGGTGGCTTAGATGTTGATGGGAGCAATGCAGAAGGTGACAAGTGACTCTTCTCTGGATCTACTTTGAAGGTAGAGCCAACAGAATTTGCTAACGCACTGGATACTGGGTAGAAGATTGAAGAGTCAAGGATGATTCCAGTGTTTGAACTGAGAGGCTAGAAGGATAGAGTCTGCAGCAACTGATATATATAGGCTATGGGTGGAACACACTTGGGAGGAAATAAAAGCTCAGTTTTTGACATGTCAGTCAGAGAGGTCAAGTGGGCTGTTGATATATAAGCTGGAGTTCAAGATAGAGTTCTGGCCCAAAAACAAATCCGAGAATTTTTAAGCATACGTACAGTATTTAAAACCATGCAATTCATTCTGGAAATAAAAAGGATCTTTCATACAAGTTACCCTCATCACTGATAAAGTCTGGACTAAAGCAATCCAGTGATATGTCCAAGGTCAGATACATATAAAGCAATTCTAACAGAGCTGCTCTTCTTTACCCTGAATTTTCTTGAGAACACTGTACTGCCATCTAGCATAATGAGTAAAAGACCGTTCTTTGAAGGCTAATAAGTAAAAAGGGTTTAACTTCCAGAAAACATTCCCTAAATACTGTGTATAAATATGGAACCATCTTATCTCCATTTCTTAAAAAGCATTATGTGAAGACATTAAATATATAATACACTGTAGGTGCTCAATAACTGCTTAATAAATGAACAAAATTTCAATTAAATAGCCCCTTACTGTGACACTATTTATTTATTTATTTTAAAGATTTTATTTATTTATTTGAGAGAGAGAGAATGAGAGATAGAGAGCACGAGAGGGAAGAGGGTCAGAGGGAGATGCAGACTCCCTGCCGAGCAGGGAGCCCGATGCGGGACTCGATCCCGGGACTCCACGATCATGACCTGAGCCGAAGGCAGTCGCTTAACCAACTGAGCCACCCAGGCGCCCACTGTGACACTATTTAAGTATCCAAATCCCACTTGTCCAAGTGGTTACATTTAAATATTTTTACTTACCTGATATTTAAGCCAATGAAGTTTGTCCATGTGAAAATATAATCTCCACCAAAGACCATTCCAATATAAGTTACTAATATATTCTACAAAGAAAAACGGCAAGATGCTGTAACATAGGTTTAACCGAGCTTTTTCAATATTCATATGAACTCATCCACAGAATGGCCCAAATACCTATCCTTAAAATACAAAATCAAATAAACGGACAATAACAAAAACCCACCAATCCTAAAATGAGTGTAGTATGAAATAAGAAATAAAAAATGACATTAACTTCTTCTCAATCTATCCCTCCAAAAGCTAAATGTGTTCACTGACAATTATCACCAGATAATCAACTTCCCGTGCCCCACAGCATGGGCTAACACTGTAAATCTAGACAGAGAAACACTGCTGTCACTAGGGGTAGAAAACACTCATGCACGTTTGGCAATCAGAAAAGAATGCTTTTTCCTCCCACTGAGGTAACTGTTGACTTGTTAGGGGAAAGTGAAGAAGGAAAACCTCACATGTAAGCAACTCTCCCTCTTCTTTAGAAAGGAAAAGGGGATGACAGGGAGTTTACCAACATGAACATTGTTTTTAGAGGCATCTTCCCTGGTATCTTAAAAAAATACATGAAAAGTCATCTCAAAGTCCCATACTTAAAATCATCTCTCCTGACTCCCTTAAACTCCCAGGTGTAAACATCTGCTTATCTGGCTCCCTTTTAATTATCTTCAGGCCACAGAGGTGAAATAAACTTTCCTGAAGTTCAAGCTACTCTTCAGTTCTTCCCTAACCTCCTCTCTCTCACATTCAGAAGGCACCGCCTGCCTCTCCACTGTGACAGCTGTCGGGAATGGGAAATGTCACAAACATTTTTAGAACCTGGGCTTGCCTGGATCAGGTCTACGAAGCAGAAGTAAAGTGCCACAGTGTTTTTGAAAAGCCAAAAAGAAACTTCAAATTTATAATGGGAGCGCCCTTTGGGAGAGCATTTGAAATTATGTCAGCCTCTTCTAGGTCTAAGGATGGAGACAGCAAGTTACCTCAGAACAGATTTTCTTAGTATTTTGAGGGGAAAGAGCAAAATTAAATACCATGCAACAGTAAACAAGGTCAGTAGATGACTTGGGAAAACGTGTAACAGGACTGGCTTAGAACACAGAGCTCCAGAGAGATGGCAGGTTAATGTGCACAAAGCGCCCAGGAGCTACAGAAAGGGAAGGGACTGAGAACCCAAACCCTGCTGCTCAAAATCAATTAGGACAAGACAGCAATGCCCCCAAGCAGAATTCACCAGCAAGCGCAGAAGATGCTAGTACCTCAAAACTCAAGACTGTAATTCTCAAATGTTAGCGTGCCTTGTTAAAAATGATGGTTTCCAGGCTCTATTTCAGAGATTCTGATTCAGTGTATAAGAGGTGGGCCTAGGCATTTCCATTTTTAATTAAGTATCCTCAGTAATTTTCCCACCATGCTTCAGAGAAACAAGAACTAGGGATAGCCCCTTGGGGAACAATGACTGAGCTAAAAGGGTTGTATCTGAGAGGCTAATGAAAGAAGTTCCACAGTGGACCATGAGACTCTGAACCTGCAAGGGCATCGGCGTACTCCCCTCTGTCTGAAGATGTAAGACAGCCTTCGAGGGCCTTCGAGAGCAATACCACAACACAGTGAGAAGTAACAACAGCTGTAAATCAATCTAGTTTTTTTCCCTCTATCTAGAGTTTGGATGTAAAACTGATCCCTTTGGACAAAGTCCATAGGGCTCTGTGGGGAGGACGAAATATCAAAAGTACTAGACTTTCTTTAATAAGACCATGATTATATTTGTACCCCATACTGATAAATGCAAAGAAAGTACCCTATGAAATCTTAAGCAAACAGGTTATTAAAATTAAACACTGGCTTTCAGGCAGTATCCATTTTGGCAAAAACATGGTAACAACTGGCCTGTCTCTCATGTTCTTACTCTTCTTATTCTGAAGATACAAGCCATTCACTTTGCTCTTGAAAAAGGCATTTACTTTACAAAATCAAAACAGAGCTGAGAGCTAATTTGAGGGGCTAAAACTATCTTAGCAAGCCCAGGCCTGAATGTAGATTAACTGCCTCTAGCTTTCATGGGAATTCGCACAACTGGTTCTAGCTTAATTCAGAATTCTATTTACACCAAACACTCCAATTCCATGATCTGAAGTCACAGACCTGAAATTTTAACCCAAATCTAATTTCTAAAGTGAGGGCAGGTGGACACCACTCCATGGGGGTGCAAAGGGAAACACTGCAGGGCAGTAAAACTTTATTCTGCAATCCATTCCCTCACTATTGACAAATGGGGAATCAGAAAGGTAGTCCCAAGGGCAAGCACTCTATTTCCCAAATGATCAAGGACCTACCTCTCTCTCTGTCTTATCTTTTTTAGAAAGCAAGCCTACCCTAATTCATTTGGAAATCAGGCATGCCGTGGCCTCTTGGATCTTAAAGCACTAGAAGCACAAAGTCAGATGAAAGAGGCCTCAGGCTTCAAGCCACTAACTTCAGCTCAATATTTAAGTCAACTTTGGCTCCCCTGGCTGAAGACAAATGAGTCTCCCTCAAATAAAATGGATCAGGAGGAAATGACATCACTGGAAATGTCAGACACAGCTTTTAAAAGTAGGCCATTTAAGGTTTGGCTCATGCACTGGAAAACTCCCTTGATTAACTTCTGGCAGGCCTCCTTTCCCTACAACAGCCAGAACTCAGGAAGGCAGAGTACAGAACAGTTTTCACTGGGGGTTAAAGGGACAGGCCTATCACACCCAAGTTAGTCACCTACCCTGTCTGAAACAAGCCTAATTCCTCTTCCTCTACTCTAAGGTAACCCATTCTCCTTTTCCCATATTCCCCAAAGCCTAGTCGCCTGAAAGCGGAGATTACGCCCTCCCTGAGTTCTTAAAGATCGTTTTAGAAACCAGCACCACAACCCATCAAACCAAGACAATCTGTGAGGAAAGGATGATGGGGTTTTAGGCCACAGCAAGATTTAGAGTAACAATTTTTAAATAAAGTAGGTACCCAAAAGATAACAGTATTTTTTCAACTCACTTTAATACAGCCAACTATTGTAGTTGTAAGAGCAGAATTATACTGCGTGCAGAGTACTGTGGCGTACATCAAGATAAACCTGGAACAAAGAAGGAGGAGGTGTAAGAGCCGGTTGCTTACTTTATAGCAATCTCCAGCCAAAATAAACAGTGTTGGCCATGCTAGCACATTGTAGTCACCAACTATGAGCTTTCCCAACTCACCCCTGCTTGTACTGCAGCTTTAGATTTTTTAAAAATTTCATTCAAGAGAAACATATGTCCATTTACTGACCAGGTGTTTTCCCCAGCTACCCTCACCAAAACCTTGAAACCACCATTTCTAATCATAGGTACTCTTCTTAGATCATATTACCACTAATTCACCTAACCCAGATAGAAAGCTAACAGACCACGGCTCAGGTGTGCACCTCCCATGAGGTCAATGTGATCTCTGGACAGGAGGCAAGAAAGATTCTTAAAGATGGAAGAAACCCAAATTAGCATTACTTTAAGAAGGGATATAGGTTCACTTAACAAGTAAGTGGCAGCAGTTGGAATGGGCAGATTTACAATGAGGCTTCTGAGCCTGACTCAGTACCAAGGCACCACGGTAATTTTATTTTGAAGCACTCCCTCACTGGGCACCTAGCCTGCACCAGATCATAAACACCAACCAAACTGACCAGCTCAGGAAAATAATTCCTTAGGGAAATACAAAAGCGAAGAGAAGAGGCACATTAGCAGATACCATCCTGCCTTCCACATATACTCTTCTAAGAGGAAGACAATCTGGTAGAGAGAGTGAGACAGCCCCAAATTCAAAGGCTGCCACTGCGGACTGTGCAAACTCAGACAGCTGACTTGAGTTCTGGGCCTGCTTCCTCATAGGTAAGAGGACAAAAATATGTGTCAAATGGTCAATGTAGAAATAAAAGAATGCATTCTGAAATATAATGGTGCTTATCACATACCAGGTTACTGGGCAAATAGTTACTTGTCTCCATCCTTTGAAAGATGACTTTGGAATTAGTTTAGTAACCCTAAGGGCACATTTCGAAGGGCTGTGAAACCACCTGAATCTGGAAGTTTAACTACCCTATACTGATATACTCAAGAGACAGAACAGGATACTTAGAAATGAAGCAAAAGGACCCCAGAACAAACTTCTCTAGGAAAACGGTCTGCTAATAAGGCAATAAAGGCTTACCCCATCACACAAGAGAGGGTGAACTGCAGAAGAAAGAGGGTGTCAGCCCAGCCTTCAAAATCCATTGCCTGTAATACACAAGAAAGTATCTGATTTTAGAGCAAACCCTCAAAATCAGCTGTTCTATTCTTCCATCAAAATCCTGGGTACTCACTCCCACCACACATACACATATATACATCTCTCTGTATCACTCACAGGATAGAGAGTGATGTTTAAGAATTTGATATATATGAAGCTGAACCCAAAAAGGAGTTTTCTCCTTTCTAAAATGCAATGTGGGGAAGATTTTGTACTTCTCCCTATTGGTACAAAGAAACTGGTATTTGCTTGAAGGCAGAAGCCATATCTGGCTCATCTCAGCAGTTCTCCCAGATGGCTAGTATTAAAAGCTTTCTCAAACATTAAAACATACTTCTTCCTTGTAACATGTGAAAGCTCAAGTGCACCCTTAGTTACACAAATTCAGCTGAGGTCTATCCAGGGAGAATTACTATTTTGAAACAGTTGATAGTAAAAGCAAGGTTTTATTGCTGTTTTCTTTTTAAGCCAAAAAGCAAAGGAAGAGAAATGAAAAGGTCCATCAATCACCTCATCTCTCATCCAAGAGGGTTTCTCGATCTCAAGTACATAATTTCTCTTGTAATATCAGTTTAAGCAAATATGAGAAACATTCCACCTTTTAGCTTTCTGCCAACCTATCCAGCTTCAGTTCTTGCCACTTCGACATAAACCTCCCAGCTGCCAGGCCCCAGCAATATGAGGCTCTTTACCGTTTATAAAATACAACATGCAGTTTCACACCCACATGCCTTTGCTTTGAATGCCCTTCTCCTCAACATTCTTCTGACTCCTGTTCACTGATCAGACTAAAACTCAAGCAGCCACTATGTGGGGCCTCCCCTAGTAAGAACTCCCTCCTCTGTGCCTCAGCAGTACTTCTCTCTAGGACTCTCATCTCTCTGAGCTGCAAGTCTTTCTACACCGTTTCTACCACCAGTGAGCTCCCTGCAGGGAAGACCCACAGCCACCGAGCTAAGCAAATTCCTAACACAGCACTTGGCAAACAGCAGATGTTCAATTTGTTTATGGTTCTTTCTTTGTTGAGGCATAATATGTAAAAAATAAAATTAATCACTTTTAAGTGTATAATTCAATGAGTCTTGATAGATGTATCTAGTCTTGTAACCACCATTACTTTTTCCCTCCTAATCTATATGACTTTTAGTCTCTTGTTTTTACCTTACTGCATAATGACATCCTCTGGTATAATGTTGAATGGAACATTATAGGAGAGCAGCTCTTCTCCCTGTATTCTCAATCTCAGTGAAAAGGTATTCAGTTTTTCACCATTAAGTATGTTAGCAATAGATTTTTTTTTTCCTTTTTGGTAAAGGTCTTTTATTAGGTTGAGAAATTTTCCTTCTATTCCTGGTTTGCTGAGAATTTTAAACTCACGAATGGGTGTCATATTTTATTAAATACACGTTCTCCATTTTTTGACATGGTTCTTCTATTTCTCATTAATTCATACTAATATGGGAATTACACTGACTTTCAAATGTTAAACTAACCGTAATTCCTGAGATAAACATAATTTGGTCATATAGTGCCCTTTTTATATATTGCAGGCTTTTTTTTTTTTTTTTTACTGTAATTTCCACCCCCTGCCCTTGAAATTTTTTGTCAACTATCGGTACAAGGTATGCTGGCCTCTCAAGGTCAATTGGGAAGTATTCTCTCCTTTTCTATATTCTGAGAGAATTTATGTAGATTGGCATTATTTCTTCCTAAAGCAGTTTGTAGAATTATCCAGTAAAGTGATCAAGGCCTGGAGTTTTCCTTTTGAGAAGATTTTTAACTAAAAGTCAATTTCTTTAATAGAGATAGCGCTAAATAGTCGAATTGATTAGGGCTAATTATTTAAGTAGAACTACTTAATATTTATTAGAATGTGGCTATTCATGCGATTTTTTTTTTTTTTTTAAGATTTTATTTATTTATTGGACAGAGGGAGACACAGCGAGAGAGGGAACACAAGCAGGGGAAGTAGGAGAGGGAGAAGCAGGCTTCCTGCTGAGCAGGGAGCCCGATGTGGGGCTCGACGTGGGGCTCGATCCCAGGACCCTGGGATCAAGACCTGAGCTGAAGGCAGATGCTTATCGACTGAGCCACCCAGGTGCCCCTATCTATTTCTTCTTGAGTGAGCTTTGGTAGTTTGTCTTTTTCAAGAATTTGTCCATTTCATGGACACAGTTTTTCAGTTTATGGCATAATGTTCATAATATTCCATTATCCTTTTAGTAAATGCAAGCTCTGTAAGGATACCACTCTTTCATTCCTTATACTGATAATTTGTGCATTCTCACTTTTTGTCCCTATCAATTGGCAACGGTTGAGCAATTTTATTGATCTTTTATTGACCTCCTGGTTTTAGGTTCATTGATTTTTCCCTATTGCTTTTCTGTTTTCTATTTCATTGATTTCTGCTCTTACCTTCCTCATGTTTCCTTTGGGTTTAACTTGCTCTTTTCTGGCTTCTTAAGGGAAAGGCTTAGGTCACTGATTTTAGATCTTTCTTCTTTTCTAATGTATGCATTTAATTAAGCTATGGATTTCCCTCTCAGCATTCCTTTAGCAGCATCATTTTGCTATGTTGTGTTTTTTCATTCAGGTCTACACGATTTCTAATTTTCTTCATGATTTTTTCTTTGATCCAGGTGTTATTTAGAGGTATGTTTATTTCCAAAGATTTGAAGGTTTTTCCATATATCTTTATGTTATTAATTTCTAGTTTAATTCTGTTCTGGCCAGGGAACATACTTTCTATGATTTCAATTATTTTAAAGTATTAACACTTGTTTTATGGCCCAGAATATAGTTTATCTTGGTAAATGTCCCATGTGCACTTGAAAAGAGTGTTTATTTTGTTGTTGAGTGGAGTGTTCTATAAATGTCAATTAGGTCAAATTGGCTGATGGTGTTGTTCAAGTGTTCTACAGCCTTAATGGCTTTCAGCTTAGTTGTTTTATCAATTACTGAAAGAGGAATGTTAAAATAGCCAACTATAACTGCCAATACTGTATTTATCCTTTCTGTTTTATCAGTTTTTGCTTCATATATTTTGAGGTTTTCTCATTAAGTACATATATATTCAGGATTGTTATGCCTACTTGACAGAACTCTTTCAGCATTAAGAAATGTCCCTCTTTATGGTATAGTTTGTTTAATATAACTTACGGTTTTGTTGAGCTCTTGTATGCGTGGATTTAGTTTTCATCAAATTTGGAAAAAAAAATCTGCCATTAATTCTTCAAAAATCTTTCCTTCCCCTGCCCCTTCTTCAGGATAGCAGTTACACATATATTAGATCTCCTGATACCACCCCACATGTTACTAGTAATCTGTTCATTTGTTTTCCAGTCACTTTTTCTCCATGTGCTTCTTCTTGGATAGTTTCTATTGCTATTTCTTTAATTCACTGATCTTTTCTTCTGTAGTTTCTAATCTGCTGTTTAACACCGTCTGCTTTATTCTTCAATTCAGATATTTTTCATCCCTAAAAGTTTAATTTGGGTCTTTTTTATATCCTTTTCTCTTCTCATCCTTTCTCTCTCCACAATCCTTTACTACCTATTGTCCAAAGTCTGAAAACCGTTTTTCATATATATGTATTTGGTATGCTAGTAGGTCAGGGCGGGAAGGTAAATCCTATCCCTGCTATCCCATCATGGCTAGAAGCCCAAGACCAAATTCAATTACTGACTTGAATTGTAAACCTATCTCAAATGATGCTTCCACTAGGAAGCTTTGCACGAAAACCCACATTCACATTAGGCTCTTTCCTGCCAAACTGTCCAAAACACTAAGTGCTACTTCTATCACTGACACTGCATGTATGTGACGAAGTACACGTATGTATGTGACTCTCTGTATCTGTATGTACATGATCACCTATGCAGACACGGGGAATGCCTTCAGGGTTTATCTCCCTAACCACACTGCTTAACAAAGTGACAGCAAATAGAAAGTGTTCCATAACTCTTTGTTAGGGAATGAAGGATAAAGAATAAAGAATATGCTACGCTCTTTCATACCTGTAAACATGGGATGATGAGAAACGATTAAAGCACAACAAAGCACAGGCCTAGAACTCAGGAGACCAGCCTCTATCAGCAAGAATATAAATTCCTGGAGAGCAGGAACAATGTCAAATGTCACTTCTGCCTAGCTCCAAGTGTTTGGAAGTGTTAGGCACAAATAGCTGAGGTGAATTAAATATCCATGCTCTCTGGTTTAGCATCATTTTCTACAGGCAGATGAGGTGAACTTTACTTTTTAATACACCCACATACCTACCTGTATATGCTACTAAGTACATTTCAAGTTTCATATTAAATCTATATAACTTTATATAGATTTATATAATTTTAAATTTTCTTAAAATGGTAAAAGTCATTTTACTGGCATACAACTCATTAGTTTTTGCACTGAATTTATTTTTTCTTTTTTTAAAGAGAAAAGGCATAACGCAGCAAACCAGCAGGGGCACTAGAAGTATCTTTGAGAGGGTTACCGGCACCCAGCAGGAAAAGCCATGGTACCTACACAAGCAGCACACCAGGATTCAGGAGCACAGTATCTTGCACCAGCTCACCACTGCTTCACTACACCAGCCTTAGCTTCTGTGAGGGAGGTTAAACTGGGTGCCTGTTAGTGTTAGATCCGCTTCAAAAGGAGACACCTTCCTTCACTCAAGCTGAAACACATAAAAGAAATCTCAGGCCTAAGAACCTTCCTCAACTCTAAATTATCCTCCTTTCCTAGATAAGCTACTCTTTTACCCTAAAGTCACTAAGAGAATAAAGCTGGTGTGATGGACCATAAGAATTCACTGAGCCTTAGTTTCTGCATACATAAGAGGAATAATAAGGCCTATCTTGTAGAGTTGTTATCAGAATTAAAGACAATATGGATATAATGCCTGACATGAAGAAGATCCGTCCAGTTCAGTAAGTGATGTCAGTTATTATGTGTGAACATCACTTCTAATTCTTTTTTCTATCAG